CTCATTTTATTCTCCCCAAATGAATTCTTATGGTCACAGTTGAATTTGGTAAATATTATTGTTATTATTCTGATCCTCAGCAGGAAAAACCTCCCAAGGCAGGTCCAAAGAAAGCTCCTGCTCAAAAGGTTTGCCTCATTAGATTTTTATATCGCAATCAGATCTCATTTTGTTCTCCCCAAATGAATTCTTATGGTCACAGGTTAATTTGGTAAATAATTATTATTATTCTAATGCCCAGCAGGAAAAATCTTCTCCGGTTTTGAAAGTTGAAGAAGACAATGAGGAAGTGCATGAGCTAAAGGAAAGACTCGCTGCTCATAATCTAGAATCCTGTCCAGATCACTCTGACGGTAAATTCTATCTGCCTCTTACGATGAATATTTTCTTTTCTTCATACATCTTGTCCAGTGTAACAAACTTGGGGACCAGGATTTCTTTATTAGTAAAGTTTGACAATATGTTTGAATGAAATAGTACAGTAAAATAAATCACATGCTTGTCTGAGAGATGGCTTCTTAATTTGTTAATTGAGACGATTGCATAAATCAGGATATGTGTATGTGCCAAGCAACTTCTTAACTTTTTGTTCACAGTTTTGGAAAGTGAAGTGCCCCAAGTTCAAGCTAAGGCTGCTGCTGAGAATAAGCAGTTGTCAACTGTCACGGATATTTCTTGCAATGAAGATGCTGCTGAGAAGAAGCAGTTGTCAACTATCACGGAGATTTCTAGTGATGAAGATGATGCTGCTAAGAAGCAGCAGTTGTCAACTGTCATGGAGATTTCTAGCGATGACGACTTTGAGGTAGAGCTAGCCGCAGCAGCAAGGAATAAAAAGAAGGGACGCAGAAAGCCAGCAAATGCCAAAGCGGCCAAACCCCCTGCAGCAACAAGGAAAAGAGGGCTGGCTAATAAGCGGTCTCAGGTTACCGAAGCTTTGAAGCTTCCTCAGAATTCGGGGCAATCTCCTGAGAAGAAAGTGAGGAAGACGAGGGCATCCTCATTTAATAAGGAAAGTAGCTCTGTTTTGAGAAGAATAGATGAGGAAAATATTTCAAGAGCAAGTGTAGAAAAAACCGATTCTCCTACTTCAGACACTAGTGATGTAGTGAATGAAACTGGCACCAAGAGCTAGACCACAGATAGCCAACACTGGGAAGGCAATTGATGACCCTGACTTTGTTGAAGAGAGAGATTTGTAGGTGGGTTAGGAACTTATTTCCCCTCCATTTCAGTTTAACATTGTATTATTGGTTTTGTACTGAAATTATCAAAGCTAACTGAAGTTACCTTGTGCATGAGTAATCTCACTCTTGCTTGACCTTCATATTTGGCACTTGATTCTCATGGATCTGGATGACCTTAATCCAACCGAACCCGACCTTCAATAGTTTGACTTATTTTCAAAGCTGTTGGAGAATTACACAAGTGAATCAACAGATTGTTAGACTGGCTAATCCATACTCAAATCAAGGTTTAAAATCTTCAAATCTATTTCAACTCAACCGGGAAAGTTTCCCAAAACCCCTGGGAAAAATGGGTTAGATTCAGGTTGGATTTGGGTTGAAACCTGCCAAAGTCGCAACCTTGCAAGCAAACCAGCAAGCCCTGAAGTTAAAATCAACATGAACAGCAGAACTCTCCTCCCCTGCTGTGTATTTATAGTGAATAAAACTATCAAATAGTGATTTCTGAAAAGTTGGTCCATATTCTGTTAGTCTGTTTCTTCACATCTATCTCTAATATATATATATATATGCTTTCTTTCATAACCACATGTATTCTCATTGTTTGTTGCATTCTCTTTCTTGCTCTGTTCTTGTCCTACATAGTCTTCACCCACGAAGAACAAAGGCGAAATGGCTACTGAGCAAGAAATGATCAACAGAAAGAGAAAATTCTCAGAGTCCCAAGAAGAAGAAGATCTTGATGATGATCTGCAGGTTACTCTTTCTTAACCTTTTCGTCGTCCCACTATTCCACCACCGACACCCTGCAACAAGAAGAAGATCATCACAATGATCTACAGCTTATTTTCTCTGAAGAAGATCATCACAATGATCTGCAGAAAGAGAAAGTCACATTATTGGCTTTTTTTTTTTGCAAATCATAATGGAATCAAGATCTATAGCAAACTGATGCTATTGAGGAATATACACTTAATGGAAAGTTAGCATACATCACATTCTCCAAAATTTTTGTAACAGATATGGTTCTTGATGATTTGTGGTGACTTTGAACATTAATATTGTGATGTAATCCATTTTCTTTCGTTTAATGACTTGTTATATAAATATAAAGCTAGAAATTTAAAATAACTACTTTATCCATACATTTCATTTGGTGCATGCTATATGGTTCCCAAGAAGACAGACAGGGACATGAAAGAAAACGATAAATGAATAACATTAGCACCATTTTCTAAAATTCAATGCTTTGAATAACAATAGTACCATTTTTTCTGATTCTTTTTTATTATAAACCAACCCTCACAATCCAACAAATGCCACAATTAAACATAGTCCACCTTCAAATTCCAAGTTAGAGAATTTACCCCACATATACCAAATCTTCATATGTCTAGAGAATAAGCTTGTGAGCTCAGCCAGTCCTCGGGATTCCATTTGCTTATTAGCAAATAAATCACAATAAAGTGAAATGCACAGTTCTAATAAATCACAATAAAGTGAAATGCACAGTGAGTCGGGGTTGCTTAATTTGTAATTCTGAAAACAGTTTTTAAGAATTCAGAACAGAAAACAGTTTTCAGAGAACAATAAAAGACAATTATCTAAAAATAAGCCTTTTTACAATGAGTTTTAAAAAAACTGAAATAAGCAAGAATTTGTTTTTGTACCATTTTCTATTTTTAATTATCTAAGAACAGAAATCTGTCCTCTTATTTATTTATTTATTTTAGTTGGTATTACTGAGACTGGAACCTTTGAAATTTTGTTTTTTTTTTTTTTTTTTCTTTCTTAGTTGGTATTCCTGAGACTGGAACCTTTGATTTTTTTTTTTTTTAAAGAATATTTTTCTCGGATCAAATTATAAAATAAAAAATAAATAAAACGAATTAAAACTGACTGGTAGGTTGTCCAGAATGGTACGTTTGACCAGACATCTCTCGCTTGTTTAGTTCCTCACCCTCTTCCTTTTCCACAGAGAAACACAACACTCACTCACTCACTCGGTATCGGAACCCTAGATCGCCGGGAAGTCATCCCAGTCTACTGAAAACTTGGTATGAAGTAATACTTTCCACAGTTCGTTTCCTTTCTCTCTCTATTTACATTACTTTCTTTCTCTGCGGTGATGAATTGTATCTAGGGAGCTAGCTTTTGAGTTTGCAAGATTTGCCATATTTGTTGATCAGAACCCTCACAAGTCACAAATTATCTTTATCTCACTTATTTTATTGTTGATAATACAAGCACATGAGATTGTGTACTTTGTTTTTTCATTTTCGGTCTTTTTCAATCTGAGAAAGTATGCATATTATTGTGTCATTGACTCCTCATTGCTTTATTTTATTTTTTATTATTCTTTTTTGGGTGAAATTTTTATAGATATTTTTTGGTCTGAAACCATAAATTTTCATGGTGATTTTTATTTATTTATTTTTCTCTCTCTTAATGTGTATATTATAGACAAGAAGAGGAAGTTGAGTGAAACCCATTTCACTTGGGTGGTCTTTCTATTAGGGTTATCGTTTGCGGCAATTTTAAGGGTTAGGCATGCCCCCTCAATCACAGGTAGCTAACTACTCTTATTCTTCTTCTTTTTATTTTTTATTTTTTATTTTTTATTTTTTTGTTAAAATCTTATTCTTCTTCTTACTTCAAAATATTTAATGATATATTTTTTTTATTTAGGTTTTGCACGCTTTCTTTAGCAATTAGTTATTATATTGTTCTGATATGATGCTAAGATAAGTTGTGAATGCAAATACATTTCTTTTTTGGTAAGATGTGAATTAAAGTGCTTGAAAATATTTAAATCAAGTGTCCATATATATTTATAAGTTATGTGACACCTATAAATTTTGTGCTTTTCAATATAGGTTTACTCTTGCAAAGGGAGAAGCTAAGTGACATGATAGGGGTCGGAAAAGAGTAAGTTGTTTTTTTGCAAATGTTTAGTAGTATAGGAAATTTTTGCAATTTTCTCTACTTTCTGCCACATTTGAAGTATAGACTCCTTGATGATTAAGATTAGCAATAAAGTGAACTTATTGCCCTTTTATTTAAAGGGTGATTAGTTCATGTAATTTAAAGGGTGATTATTGTTGATTTTTTGGCCTCTTTGAAGGCTTAGATACTATTTTTGGCCTTTTGTAGTTCTCTTGGGATGTGCTCCCCTTTTGACTGCTTTTTCTACATTTCTTACTTATCAAAAAAAAAAAAAGTGTTTTAATTGCCTTTGGTTTCGATCGAGTAAATTGTTACGTAGTATTATTTAGTTTTCATAGAATGAAATTTTCTTTATTCCTTCAATACATATAATGAACAAAAAGCAGTGCTAACGCAGATAATTCTTGAGTAGTCTGACTCAATTATACACCATTTACCTTGCATGCATGCATTGAGGTGAAGAAGTAGACCATTTACCTTGCATGCATGCATGCTTAACAATACTGATATGTGTGTCCCAATTAACATTTTGACTTTTTGTTCGGTCATGAAAACTGAAGTGCCTGTGCCCCAAGTTCAAGCCGGGGCTGCTGAAGGCTACTGTTCTGACACGGAGTTTTCTAGCGCTGAAGACATAGAGGTGGAGGTAGCCGCAGCAACAGAAGCCAAACCCCACAGAACCAAGAAAAGGAGGGCCTGGCTAATATGCAGCAGAAGCCAAACCAAGAAAAAGAGGGCGGCTAATAAGTAGTCGCAAGCCCCCTGCAGCAACAAGAAAAAGAGGGTCGGCTAATAAGTAGTCTCAGATAATATCCCCCGAGACAAAAGTGAGGAAGATGAGGGGTAGAAGACTTTGAGGTAGAGGTAGCCGCAATAGCAAAAGCCAAACCCCCTGATTCTGATGGCTCTGAATGACCTTAACCTGCCCCAAGCCTTCAATAGTTTAATTTTTTTTTTTAGTTGGAGGGGTTAATCCATACTCAAATCATGGTACTGTACAAAGTTTTGGTCTTGGATTGAGTTCCAATTGGATATATTGAAAAAAAACCATAACTCTTAAAATAATTTTTAAGGATATATATATATATATATATATATATATATATATAAAGACTATAAATAAAGATTGATTATAAATACGTGAAGTGTGAACTTATAAATATATACAAATTGGGTTATCCCTGCATCTTGATATTGGCAAACAAACCACATACCTTGACACCCCCACCCCATTCTCTCCTCCTCATTCAGTTGTCTCTAGTTTGATCAAGTGAATTGTTACTTGGTATTAATTAGTTCAGTGTTTAATGTTGATATAATAAAATTTTATCCATTCATTTCTTTTAATACATTTAGTTATATGAATTCTTAGTTATTTGTTTAATGTTCCAATATATATATATTTTCAGTAAGTTAAATGTTCTATTTTTATATAATGAAAAGTTTGTTTCTTTGATGCCATGGACTATTTATTACCAGTCATAGAAATTCTTGATAGGGAGAAGAGGAGTCTGTGTGATGTGTGTATGTATTTTTGTTCCCTTTAAAGTACACCTTTCCTAGTTGCCATCCATGGAGGTAGGTAGACAAAGCCTACCAAGAGCCAAGTGTCTCGCACCCGTTCACAGCACATCCACACACATATGGCACCACAATTACCCCTCCCTAAGGGACTAAAATTCTCGTTGGCCACACTTCCGACTGGGCTCCGGCTTACATGGTATGATATTGTCCGCTTTGCATTTATCCCACAGGGTTTTGGTCTTGGGTTTTACCCCAAAAGGCCTCATATAAGTACTTCACCTTCATTTTACCCAGGTTCGCTCAATGTGGCATCTCGCCCAATGTCTAGCACCCGCTCACCACACACTCGGCCACATATGCTGCCATAAACCCAACAAATATTATAACTATTCTAAACAAGTGCAAAATTTGAAACCCCAGACACCCATTTGCCCTTGTAAAGATTTGAATCATCACTTCCCACTTTGAAAGGTAGAGAAAGTATCACTAGAACCGTTTCACTTCCCATTTTGAAAGGTAGAGAAAGTATCACTAGACAAAAGTTCGTTGAAAAACAATTATTAGACAACAGTCCGTAGTGGATGCAAAATTCATTGTTGGAGGGGTACAGTTTGCCCTATGTTGGCTGTGCCCCCCGTTGGCCCACGCTGGCCCATTAAATTTTATATATGTTTAGGTATATTATTCGTAAAATATTACTTATGCCCCCCCTGAATTTTTTTTTTTTCTTTCTAAAACACCCTTGGGACTGAATTGTTTTATACATGTAAGTGTATAAGTTGTAAAGAATTACTTTGTGCCCCCTCTGAAAGTAAATCCTGGCTCCATCCCTGACTGTAGGCTATATAAAGCAACACCATATTGGTATTGAAACATTATAGAATACGTACATGTAACACTTTACATGGAGACACAATGCCTATTACATTAAGAGACAACGTTTATAACCTTATTACATTGAGACGCACCGGCATGACACCAAGAACGCAACACATGCAAATTAAATCGACCACACACAGATATAACAGTGCTGCATCTTAATGTTAGGTGAGAATGTACAATACTTTATACTTTGTCAATGTACATGGACATATCTTGCACATTACTTATTATTTATTTATTTCCTTATTTTTGTTCCATTCAGTTTCCTCCTATGTATAAATATCCAAAGAGTATTGAACAGATTGAACTCACACACAAACAGACCTACTATTCTCCCAATAGGAACTTGAATTCCTTAACCTATCATGTCTGAGGGGGGAGATACGCCTAAAGGCTCAGTGGTAAATTTGGTAGCTCTTTGATATATTAATATAGAATTTTTGTGTTGTAGGATTACAGAGGGCACAATGATGACACAACTGTACATTTTGAAGTCATCTTATCTAAGGAAAACTTGATCATGGCCCAGCAAGAGGATTTGGTAAAGAAAAGTAAGCTTACTACTACGATCAGCGCAAGTAACATGCATCTGTTCGGCGCAAAAGGCGTGATCAAGAAATATGACACCATTGAACAAAGTATGAAATTGATACTGCTAACTAATTTAGTTTATCTCGCATATATATAACTTTGCTTTACTTACCATTCATTTCTTTCCTTCTGTAGTTCTGGAGGAATTCTTTCGTATTAGACTTGAATGCTATGAGAAAAGGAAGGCAAGTTGGTAAAAAATGAAATTAAAATGTAGACATTTGTATTTCCCAGTTGCTTTGTGGACATGGTTGCTAACTAGAAAATAATTTTGTGAAGAAATCTATGTTGGACAATCTTGAAATGGAATTGTTGACACTTGAAAACAAAGTTAGGTTCATAATTGGGGTTGTGAAAGGAGAGATCATTGTGAGCGGCAAGTGTGCTGATCTGTTTGTGAAGTTGCGAGAGAAAGGCTTTACAGCTTTCCGGAATATAACAGAAACTCCTAAAGCAACAATTTCTAATGCCACTGATGATGCAGAAGATTACAGATACCTACTCTCAATGTCAATTGGGACCTCATCTCTTAAGAACTTTCAGGAGCCATGTGCTAAAAGGGATGAGCTTAAGAAAAGGGTCGATGATTTGAGAAAAGCAACTCCAAAGTCTCTGGATGAATGATCTGGATGAACTTGACAGGAAATTTGATGTATGAACTGAAAGCTTATGAAATTTTGTGATATTTTTCTATGGTTCTTGATAGCATATTCTCTTAATTTTGTGCATAATTCAGAAAGAAGAAAAGGGTGATGCCCAGGGAGAGGGGGCTAGAAAGGAGATGAATGAATGAAGCTGGTCTCAAGAACTCATACAAGCGTCACAAGCACCCAAGAACCCACTGAAGAATAATAGCAAGGCCAGCAGTGCAAAACCTGGTGCAAAAACATTTGAAACACCAATTAGTTCTGCAATGGAAACCGGCAAGTTGCAAGTCTTTTTTAATGTATCTTTCTTTCATAACATGTGGTAGCATGGCTTTAAACTGTGTCAACTCTTAGTATTGTTACTTGAATAATTTTTTCTCCATCAGATAATGTTCCCGAGGCAGGTCCAAAGAAAGCTTTAGCTCAAAAGGTTTACCTCATTAGATTATTTTATCACAATCAGATCTCATTTTATTATCCCCAAATGAAGTCTTATGTTCACAGTTGAATTTGGTTAATAATAGAATTATTATTATTATTCTGATCCTCAGCAGGAAAAACCTTCTTCGGGTTTGAAAGATGAAGATGACAATGATGAAATCCTTCAGCTGAAAGAAAGACTCGAGTCCTCTCCAGATCAAAGCGAAGGTAAATTCTGTCTGCCTCTTGAGATTAATATTTTTCTTTCCTTCATATATTTTGTCCAGTGTGACAAACTTTGGGACCAGTTTTTCTTTATTAGTAAAATTTGACGCACTATCTGAATGAAATAGTGCAGTAAAATAAATCATGTGCCCTTTGAGATGGTTCCTTAATTTGTTAATTGAGGTGAAGTAGCAGACCATTTACCTTGCATGAGTGCATGCTTAACAATACTGATTTGTATGTCCCAATTAACATTTTGACTTTTTGTTCAGTCATGGAAACTGAAGTGCCCCAAGTTCAAGCTGATGTTGTTGCTAAGAAGAAGCATTTGTCCGCATCCTACTATTCTGCCACAGAGATTTCTAGCGACGAAGACTTTGAGGTAGAGGTAGCCACAACAGCAGAGAAAATAAAAAGAAGGGTGGGAGAAAGCCAGCAAATGCCAAATCAGCCAAACCCCCAATAGCAAAAAGGAAAAGAGGGTCGGTTAATAATCAGTCTCAGATGACCGAAGCTTTGAAGCTCTTCGAGAATTCAGGGATGTCTCCTAAGAAGAGAGTGAGGAAGATGAGGGCATCCCCATTTAATAAGAAAAGTGGCTATTCATTGTGAAGAATAGGCAAGGAAGATGATAAGATTTCAATAGTGAGTGAAGAAAAAGTTGGCTCTCCTACTTCAGACAACACTGATGAAGTGAATGATATATATATTCCGTATATCAACGTTAAATGTATATCAACTTTATGAACTTGTACGTTGGTTTATAAGTCAAATTGAACTCAATAGTTTGGAATAGAATGTCTTAATATTCAATCTCAATGGATTAATTTAGGAAAAAAAAAAAAAAAATCTCAATGGATTATATATATATATATATATATATATATATATATTCTCTTTTATTTATTTATTATCAGTAAGAAATGAACACGCCCTCCTGTTTCTTTGGCACTTCCTCACTCCACTTTGAGAGGTATAAATACCACAATGCCCTTGGTTATATTATATATGTATACACTCTCAAAAACCCTATAATTCTCTTCTCATTGTTTCTTGCATTCTTTTCTCTTGTTCTGTTCTTGTCCTACGCAAAGTAGTTTTCACCGATGAACAACGAGCACGAAATGGCCACCGACCAAGAAATTATTAACAGAAAGAGAAAATCTTCAGAAGAAGACGATCATAACCATGATCTGCAGCTAACTCTTTCTTCATCTTTTACTCCCACTACTCCAATTCCACCACCACCACCACCCCATTTCCTCCGTTCTACACCCATGTTCAATGCAACTCCACCGCCAGCACGGCGCAACCGTCCCATACTTTATTGGCGTCCGGGAAAGAGCGAAACCGTCCCGCCACCATTCCCGTGGGCCAGCCCTCGCCGAGCCACCGTTCAGAGTCTTGCTCATCTTGAATCCCAACAAATCTTTACCATCACAGGAGAAGTACAATGCAACAAATGCGAAAAAAGCTACGAAATTCAATATGATCTTAGAGAGAAATTCAACGAAGTGGGTGGCTTTATAGTCAAAAACAAAGCCGCCATGCGTGATCGAGCTCCAAATGAATGGTTGAACCCTGTTCTTCCAATCTGCAAATTCTGTCAAAAACAGGGCAGTAATGTCAAACCAGTGATTGTGGAGAAGAAGAGAGAGATCAATTGGCTGTTCTTGCTTCTGGGTCAGATGATTGGGTGTTGTAATCTCACACAGTTGAAGTATTTCTGCAAACACACCAACAATCATCGATCAGGTGCCAAAGATCGAGTTCTTTATCTCACTTATCTTGGACTCTGCAAACAGCTTCAACCCAACGGCCCTTTTGATCCTTATTGATCCAAGATTCATCATATGTTGTTAAGGAATTCATAATGGTTGGTTTCAATTTTCAAGTTTATGGGTATATATAGATCTGAATTGGAAGGCAATTGAAAATTGTAAAGTAGCACAATTGTGTTTTGTGTGTGCGCGCGCGCGTGTGTTAGGGTTTGTCTTGAGATTGATTGCAGAGATAAAGAGACCATCTCACCCTAAAATAAAACATTTCCAAGCCCATCTACTTACTCTACTAGGCCCATATATAGTCCATTTTGCAATTACGGTTGGTAACCCTAACCCTAATTGCAAAACCATAATCTTTCTCTTCGTTATTCACAGAATTGAATCACACAACATGACCTAATCTCAAGATTCAAGCAAAATCACTGGTCCGAGACCAAAACACGGACAACTCCTTCCTTCACGTTCCCAAGTACTTGATGTCCGAGTAAGTTCAGTGTAGTCTTTGTTCTACTTTAATTTATTTGATATGATTTATTTATTTATTTATTTGTAGTTGCTAATACTACTACAGTCCCATTTTAGATGTCCCATTCAGGAAGAAGAAGTATTAATTAAGGTGAACTAAAATTCAAATATCTAGAGTGTGAAATACAATGGAAACATTTTATGTATGAAATTTTTGGAAGCCTAGGAATTTAAAATCAGAAAATGCATTTCTTATTTTAATCTTCTGGTCTCAGTTGCAACAGGATCATTGATTAATTGCATAATACATTAACAAACCTAGTTAGAGGCAAAAAAAAAAAAAAATTGTAATAATAATTTTCAATATCCAGCTTTCATATGCATATGATATTTGCTGTCATGACTCTTTATAATGGTATATATGATCCTGTGAATGCCAGAATCGTGATGGAACAAGTAACAGTATCATGGGAAATATAAATTCGATCATTTATTGCCGAAGGCAGTTATTATTGTTTTTGCAGCCTGGTACTTACCTTTGATGAGAAGGAGAAGCTTGTGACTTTGTCAACAAGGAGCTTATTGTACTGTTTTCGATGGAATATCTTCAGTGGTCGATTCCTTCAATGGTTGACGGCCTGAGACGAGATCAAAGAAAGATCCTTTTCTGTGCTTTCGAGCTGATCTTTGACAAGGAACTACATGTTTCATCGTTCTCTGGTTATGTAACTTGCCATTCTAATTTTCTTCACAGTAAGAAGGGTCCTGCCCGTACCATTATTGGCATGGCACAGGATTATTTGGGCACCAACAACATAAACCTTCTTCAACCAAATGGCCAATTTGGAACTCGTTACCTAGTGAGCCGAACAAACAACTTTCACCTCTCCAAATTGATACTAAAAGTTATTATGTTTGCTTTAACTTTCATTTCCTACGTTAATTCGTTCTTTTACAGGGAGGAAAGAATTATGGTAAAGTCTGGCAAATTTGTACCCAGCTGTCTCCTATCACACGGTCCCTGTTCTCCGAAGACGATGATATTATGCTTAACTACTTAATTGAAGACGGGAAATCTATTGAACCTAGTTGGTGAGATTTTTTGCCAGTGACAAATGGATCAGTATGTAGGTAATTGCATATGACAAGCTAATCTGTCTTATTATTCAGGTACATACCAATTATACCGATGGTTCTGGTCAATGGAAGTAAAGGCGTCGGGGCTGGATTGAGCTCTGATATCCCAAATTATAACCCAAGGGACATCGTTTCAAATGTGAGGCGTTTACTGAATGGTGAGCCAATGGAGCCAATGGAACCATGGTACAAAGGATTTACAGGAACTATTGAGAAAACGGCAGCAAAGGAATACACTATCAGTGGAATCATAGAGGAAGTCGATGCAACTACACTTCGGATTACAGAGTTACCTATAGGAGTATCAACTCGAGATTATAAAGACTTTCTGGAATTGATGATAACAGGGAATGATCCATTCATCGAGGTATATATATATATTTTCTTCTTATTGTTGTTAGCAACACTTTCTCTCTCTCTCACACACACACACACCTACTATTGTCCCAATAGGAAGTTGAACACCTTGAATTATCATGGGGGAGAAGGAGATACTCTTAAAATGGCTCAGTGGTAAATTTGGTAGCTCTTGATGCATTAATATAAACAAAAAATTTACTGGAAGATTGGAATAATTATAGCATAGTTTTCATGTTGTAGGATTACATAGAGCGCATTGTTGAAACTAGTGTAGATTTTGAAGTCTTCTTATCCGAGGAGAACTTGACATTGGCCAAGCAAGTGGGTTTGCTTAAGAAATTTGAGCTTACTACTACGATCAGCACAAGTAACATGCACTTACTCGACCCCAAAGGCGTGATCAAGAAATATGACACCCCTGAACAGAGTATGAAATCGATATTACAGACTAATTTAGTTTATCGCTTTATTGTAAATTCATTTATTTCCTTTTGCAGTTCTGGAGGAGTTCTTCGCTATAAGACTTGAATTCTACGAGAAAAGGAAGGCAAGTTGGTCAAAAATGAAATTAAATTGCAGATTCTTGAATTTCTTGATTACTTTGTGGACATGGTTGCTAACTAGGAAATAATTTCATGCAGAAACGTGTGGACAATTTTGAAATGGAAGTGTTGAAAATGGATAACAAACGTAGGTTCATAACTGAGTTTTGGGAAGGAAAGATATCAATTTCACGGACGCTGATATGCATGGTACAGCAGTTGAAAGCGAATGCTTCAAAACTTTTGGGAAGAAAACAAAAACTCCTGAAGCTGAAGTTTCTATAGAAGATTATCAATACATACTCTCAATGCGATTACGGGACATTACTGCTGAGGGGATTGAGAGGCTACGTGATGCTACGGATATGCTTAAAAAAAAATTGATGATTTGAAAGATGCAACTCCAACGTCTTTGTGGATGAAAGATCTTGACAAACTGGAGATATTATTAGATAATGTTCCCGGTGTGAAACCCAGGACAGGTCCGAAGAAAGTTCCTACCAAGAAGCATTTGTCAACTGTTGGCTGTCGTCGCGGTCATTAAGGGTACTCCAACAGTTAACTATTTCGATTCATGTCATGGATAATGAACGCTCTTGCAGAATTTTTTCTAGATTGAGAGAGAGGAGTGTGGTACAACGAGAGTGAAATAGAAAATGTTCTCTTTGTTGAAATTTTAGATTGTATTTAAGGTTCTATTTGAATGCTTTAAAATGAATGGATTTAGGTTTAGTTATCGAAGGAGTACAGTTTAGATTTAAGTTCTATAACTATGATTCAAGTTCTTACGTCATGTTTAGATTGATTAAAAGCCATCTATGTATGGATTCCAAATAAAAAGATGCAACTAAATTATAAGAAAAAAATTCTAGTTGTATAAGGTTTGTAACAAATGTTTCTCAGACTTTTGAATCTAATTTCAGTAAATTAAAATCTTGTATATAATAAAATCAAATCCTTCCTTTCAAATCAATTGTGTTGTAGACGAATGCTACAAGGTTTGAATCTGAACAATAAATATATCTCAGCCTGCTCTAGTGTTTTTATTCAAATTTTCAATCCGTAAGATGAAAATTGAAGACAGTAGTATTTCAATTTTCATCTTATGAAAGGAAGACTCTAACCGAGTCATATTTGTCCATTTGATGCATTCATGTGAGACCCGTCTAGATCCCACATGAATTCATTATATGGCCACAAATGGATCTACTAGCATGTTCAGCTACTTATTTCTGTCTATATAGCATGGTTGTTTATGGGATAAATATAAGTGGAGTCTAAATTGTGTATACCATGTAAGTGAAGGCTCTTCAAAGGTTACATAGTATCATAAATGCTGAACTCGACACAAACAAACAGGGTACATGCCTTTCCTAGTTTCGTCAATCTCTACCATCACACGACAGGTCCAATGCAAGAAATGCGACAAAATCTACGAAACTCAATATAATCTCAGAGAGAAATTCAATGAAGTGGGTGGTTTCATTCTCAAAAACAAAGACACCATGCTTGATCGAGCTCCAAACGAATGGTTGAACCCCCTGTTCTTCCATCTGTAAATTCTGTCAAGAACATAGCAATTACAGAGTGAAGCCAGTGATTGCAGAGAAGAAGAGAGATCAATTGGCTGCTTTTGCTTCTGGGTCAGATGATTGGATGGTGTTGTCTCAGTGTCTCACACAGTTGAAGAATCATCGAGCAGGAGCCAAGGATCGACTTGTCTATTGCACTTCTCATATGGATAAATTTGTTAATTCATTCACTATAAAATGTAAAATGTAAACGGTTATGGCAAATGCAACGAATTCAAGTTCAACCAAGAATCACTGACATAAAATTAAAAACAAAGAACGTACACAAAAATTTATACGTGGTTTGGCAATAGCCTACGTCTACGGTTGGAATCTGGTGAAAGTTTTCACTAGGTGTAAAATCCGATATTATAAGTTTTCAGCCCCTATTTTCTGTATGAATTTTAGAATGTCTCTCTTACCCACTCCAAATCTCTTATATATTAGACTACAAGAGACTAATTATGTGATGTTTCCATTTTTCACCATTTTTCGAAATTTTTATCGTTGTAAGGGCATTTTTGTCTTTTGCCGTTTTGCGTACCGGACACTGTGGAGTGTGCCGGTTGTGCCTGAGAATTGATTGGGGCATTTCATTGAGTTCAGGACTCTTTGAAATGCAAAATTGTCATTTTTGCATTTTTTTTCAATTTTCGGGCTGGACAGTCTCGTGTGGGACCCGCTGCCGGAATTGTGGTGTATGAAAATTTTAGTTGAATTCATTTGCATCACATTTATTTTATTTAATGTGTTATTTGTGGTTAAAAAATATTATGTGTGGGTATATGTATAATTGTGGTTAAAATAAAAAGAAAAAATAAATTAATTTTGGTGGGGTCTACCAATAGTATCTTTTAAAGGGCAAAAGGCCCATTTACCTCACAATTCTCTTCCTCTCCCATACGCTTTTCTCTCTCCCATTCTTAGACTTTCTTTTTTTCTTCTTTTGGTTTCAAAATTTCAATCCTAGATTCTTCCTTCATTACTTGGAATTTTTGGAAACCGTTTGCGGCAATTCGAAGAGCACGGCGAGATCTTCACATCCATATAAGCAATTTCAGTTTTAGTGCACTCTGGGGATTCCGGTTTTGAGACCCATTTTAGAGGTTTTTCATCCTCCTTGAGATAGGGGTCTCTAATTCATGTTTTCTTGTACCTATGTGAGTTAATTTCTTGATAATTATTGTTAGCATGTTTAATTGGTGTTGATTATCCCTAAATAATTTAATTGTGGTGTACAAAGTTCTTGATTTTATGTATTAGTTGATTTGTATGAAAAGTATGCATAAGTTGATTTTCTATGTATATTGTGTTGATAAATTGTTAGAAATGATATATGGAAGCATGTGTAATTTTCTTAGAATTATGTAAAGCATGCTTAATTGTGTTGTATGAAAATCCCTTATTATCATAGCATTGAAAGTATGAGGCATGTATGCATTTCATTGGGTATTAATGAAGGGAAATTATTTGAAAAAAATTTTAAAAAAAGGGGATTTTTGGGAAGAAATATTGATTAAATGGTTTTGAGAAAACCCGATCGCCGCGGAGTCACCAAAGGGCCGGTGTGTTAATGTAACCTAGAGGGCATTAGGAAAAACACCCTAGCGTGGTTAAGCTATCTGGGCCCTAAATGACGTCACGGGGTACTAAGGGTCAGGGACAGTAGCCAATTCTTCTCTCGTGTCGCTGCGGAGTCACCAACGGACGGGTTATATTAACAGTTTGAAAAGTGATGGATTTGGATTTCGAAAGTGGGGAGCGACATACATAGCATCGCATATCATGGCACGACATTGTTTATTTGAAAATTAGAATTAATGTTGTATCATTTCCCGGCATAGCATGACCCCCATCCTTCATTCCTATTCATTGTTTGGATTCACGGGGTCACAAGAGGTGTGTCTTAAGCACCACCTATTGAGCAGTTTTGCTCACCCCTTATTATTAATATTTTTCAGGATACGGAAAAGAGGTGGCGAACGACCATCCACCATAAGTTTAGACGGGATTGGAAATTTATATTTTGCTATTTTCGTTTTATAACTTTAATATTTTGTAAATATAAATTTTGACTATTCTGTAAAATTTTAGTATAATTTGTATAATGTTGTAAATTATGAACTTTTGATTTCAGCTATATTTCATGAACTGTAAATTGATGTAATTAGATTATGTCCCTTGTAAAGGAGTATGAGACTAAGTAGTGGACTCGTACTTTCATTTATTTATTTATTTTATTGAAGGAATTGGAGCGTAGGGACTCTGATTATATGTATATAGTTATTTTGGGAATTGGTATATTTGTATTGTCTGTGTTATATATATATATATATATATATATATATATATATATATATATGTGTGTGTGTGTGTAATTGTGTGGTGTATATAGAAAATGAAAATAAAAGAATAAGTTATTTATTTAGATTGGTGGGACCCACCACTTATGTGAATTTGGCCAAAAGGCTATGTTAGCTTCACATTCCGTCTCACTCCCGTAAGCCCTTTCTCTATCAACTTTCTGGTTCTTTTTCTTTGTCTTTTCAAAGAAGGATTCAATCATTGATTTCTTTCTCATTTCTTGATATTTTTGAATGCCGTTTGCGGCAAATTGAAACTCACAGCGAGGTCTATAAGTTGATAGGAGCAATTCCTTGATTGGTGCACCATAGGAAATTCGAAATCCTAGGATTTGAGGTGAAGAAATTGGGGGTTTTCATAATTTTGAAGGTAGGGGTTCTAATTCATATGTTCTTGAGCCTTTTTGTGAATTACTCTACTTAATTGATGATTAGCATGCTTAAATTGTAGAAATTTTTTTTTTGCTTTATTATATATATATATATATATATATTGTGCCAAAGTTGTGACTATGTGTTGCTTGATATATATGATAATGAAGCATGTAAATTGTTGATTAATTCAAGCTTATTGTGCCTTTAGTGCTAGATTGGTGATTAGAAAGCATGAAAGAAAATTTTAGAATTTTTTTAATGTTGCTATATGCAAGTGTGTTGATTTGTGAAATATGAAAATCTTATGTTGATTTGTGATTTGTAAAAATCCTTCATTTGACATGGCATTGGGAAGCATGAAACATTCATGCATATCATTGGGACTGAATGGGAAAAATTGATTTGAAAGAAAGGAAATGGATTTTGGGAAAGAATTTTAAAAATGATTCTTGTGAAAACCCGGCCACCTAGGAGTTGCCTAGGGACCGCGGTTTTAGTGAGGCCTAGAGGGGATTAGGGAGATCGCCTTAGTGTGGTTGAGTTACCTGGGCCCCAAATGACACCCTGGAGTTGCCATGGGTCAGGGACAGTGGCCAATCCTCCTCTCGTGCCGCCATAGAGTTGCCATGGGACGGGTTCACTAATAGTTTGAAAATGATGATGGAAATGGTTTTAAAAAATGGGGAGTGACATTACATGGCATGGCATATCATTGTATGTCATATTCATTTGTGGTATCGGATTAATGATGTGGTATTGTAGTTATATTTTTACTCCTAGCATTATATGATCTCAATTTCCTTATTTATATTCATTGTGTGGATTCACGGGATCTCAAGAGGTGTGCCTTAGGCACTACCTACTGGGCAATTTTGCTCACCTCTATTATTTAACATTTTTTCAGGGCTCGGAAAAGAAATGGCGGATGATAATCCCCCGCAAGCTTGAAAAAGATTAGGAATTGTATTTTGTTATCTTTTGTATCTTAGCCTATTTTTTTTGTATTGTCTTAAATTATGTAAAAGAGTATTTATTTTTACAAATCATGGCCCTGTAACATAACTAAGATACTTGATTATTTTTGTTGTAAACTGAAACCATGTAAATGCTTAAGTTGAAGGGGATGACGAGGATGGGCTAATTTGGCAAGGTTGTTGACGTTGTGGTATTGAGGAATGCATTATATTTCTTTTGTATTGTGTGTTGGGGTAGGTTGGAGAGGTCTTGAAAGACCGTTTTTTTTTTTTTCATTTGAACAGGTTGTTGTAGGACCATTTTTAGTGAGGCCATACCGAAATTTTTTTAATTTTTTTTTTTCTTATTTTTGGTATTCAGTTTAGAGTCGTTACAAATTTGGTATCAGAGCCTTGGTTCGAAAACCATTAGGACGACGGGTAGAGGCCTACATAGGGGTTGTATGGGAAGTTATTCGCATAGTTTGTGTGATTAATTGGTAAAGTGTTTTGCTATGTGGAAAAACATGTTTAACTGTTTACATGTTTACATGCTTACGTGCTTACGTGCTTATATGTTTATATTAATGTGTTCATTGCCTAGTCTTGCATGCTAAGTGTTAGTATAGCATCCTTTTATGTTGAGTTGTTCACGGTTAGACCTTAGTGTTATCGTTATTGAATCGTTTTATTTGTTTTTTTAGCACGATGTCACGGCGTGAGGAAACCAGGGAAGTTGGCCCTAGACCGACTAAGGGTGATGTTAGTAAGAGCTACAGCTCCAATCCGGATGAGCTAAATGATGAGGACACACTTTTTAGGGACTTGATTCCCCCGAGAGTTGTCCCCATAAGGAGGGATAATGTTGAAGCACCCGTAGAAGTGGGTGAAGGTTCTGTGGCATTGGAGTTGAATCGTTTGTTGCAAAATGCCGTGAGGGCAACGATTGCTGCTCAGTCGCAGTCGGCACCACAACCTATAGTTCAAGTTGAGGAGACGCCAGCTCAGAAGCTTCTCAAGATCATTAAGGGATTTTCTCAGCTGATGCCGGTTATGTTTGAGGGCGGTGCGGATCCAATGGCAGCACACGACTACATGGATCAAGTTGAAACACAGTTGACCTCAATGGATGTGACAGAGGATCACCTGAAGATCATCTTAGTAACTTACAAGTTTGCTAAGGATGCCAAACTTTGGTGGAAGACGGTTACGAATCGGCATAAAGTGGTAGAGATGAGTTGGGACAAGTTCAAGGAACTATTTTACGAGAAGTATTTTCTTCCTTTTAAAAGATGGGAGTTAAAAGGCCAGTTTCTTGGCCTTATTCAAGGCAATATGTCAGTGGCGGAGTATGAGAACAAGTTCACTTCACTTTCTCGCTTTGCTCCGGAAATGGTAAGAGATGAAGTTGACAAGACTCGAAAATTTGTTTCCGGTCTTAATGATAGAATGAGGCCGTTGATAACGGCACAGTTTATTAAAGTTTATTCTGAGGCAGTA